TTAGACAATTTAAACTGTTTCTGGACCAAATAAACACTCTCAGGATGCATTAAATTAAAACTCATGTTTATTTACATTGTTTAGATGTGGTTTAGATGGTGATATTGGTTTCATTTTAAAATCATCATTGTGGTGATGAGTGTTTGCTTTAGTTGGGCTCTTGGTCCCAATGGGCTATATGCACGCATAAGTTCCGCATTTGACGCAAGGATGCTCGTCCATTTCCGGTTGTGGAGATTAAAGCGGAGGAGAACTGAGGAAAATGGGATTATGGCAGAGTCTTCAAAATTTACTGTCCTCCCGTCTTTGAAACGAAACGTACATAGGTTTAGATGTAATTTTATATATAATTATGTTTATTTATTATAATTTTAAAAAGAAGCATAAACACAACGAAGGGTGTCTGTTTTATCTGTTTTTGTGACTAACGTTTCTTTATTATAACCATGGAGTATAAAATTCAATATAAATTATCGGTATTGCATTGGACTCTACGATCGGCGGAAATTATCGAGCGTCCTTAATCCTTCACCGGAAATACCGCCGTGCATAGAGCCCATTCTTCTTACTTTAGCTTTTCTTTGGCTTTTGTAACTGTTTGCATATCACCATTGATTGTGCAGAGAAAGCCAAGAAAATTAAAAATAAGTTGTCTTCAGCTGCTTGTTGATAATAACAAAATCAACACAATGCAAGCATTAAACAACATCTAAACTTTTGTTTTTATATCTGAAATATTCATCTTGTGGAACTGTATTATTTGGACCTGTAACTTTATAATGACCACTGTATACAATATGTTTTAAGAAAGTGAATCATCACATAGTCACACACAGATTTCAAGATTTTGGATATGATTCTCAACGACGGTGACAACCAAAACAAAAAAGCCTGGGAATCAAGGATGTTTTGTACTATGAAAGCTACCCATCATGCATTGCAGCATGAAACATTTTTTTATTTATTGTCACCATTTTTGTGAATCATATGCAAAATCTTGATGTCTGTGTGTGACTTTGTTTTACACAAAACAATGTGTAAATTTGCTTTTTGTCCAACTTCCATGATACTAACCCAAATAATGCAGTTCCACAAGCTTGGTGGTTATAAACTCCAGATACAAACACAAAAGTCTAAACACAACAATAAATGCCCACTTTATGTTGATTTCATCATCATCATCAACAACAACGAGCTGATGAGAGCCAATTTTCTTGGCTTTCTCTGTCATAACAATGGTGTTATTCAAACATACAGTTACAACAGCCAAAGCAAAGCTAGTGTACAAATACTGGGACCAAGAGCCCAACTAAAGCAAACACTGATCTCCATAATGGTGACTCAAAATAAAATAAATATCACCATCTAAACAATGTAAGGAAATTACATTGAAATAAACATGATTTTTAATTTAATGCATCCCGAGAGTGTTTCTTTGGTCAAGAAACAGTATAAATTGTCTAAATGAGACCATAAATAATGTTGAAAATGGCCACATTTGAACTAGTTTTTAACCTTGTACAAAGGATCCATTGACGTCTTTTTCAGATGTCCAGAACAGGTCAAAAAACACGTCATAAAAGCTTTCATTCAGGTCCCTCAGTGGACGTCTTTTCAAAGTCCGACTTTTGTGACAAAGACGTTGAAAAACGTCTTTTGGACATCATTTTGCTCAGTGGGTTATGTCAAACCATAATCCACACCACCTGATCACACATAAAACAAAACAGTGTAGATAGCCTATATGCCTTTACTGTAGTTTGTTGTTTGTTTGTTTATTTAGCCCTATTTATTTATTTATTTAGATTATAGCCTTAGTTCAAGCAAGTGAACTGATTGATCATCTATTTATGAATCTTCTAGCATATGAATCAAATGATATGTTGTCTTGTGATGTTAAAAACTATGGGAGAATTAAAAGAGAACCCTTGGGTGGGTCTAAAAAGTTAATTATCTGCATATAGGCTAAATATTAATAATAAACTACGCTCACCTCTTTTGTTTTTAGGTATAAGTTTTTAAGTATAATTCTGTACTTTAAGTTTAAAGTATAAAACTGTCAGATCGCCTGTTAATCAAACTTCGGCAAAACTCTAAATAAATATTACAAAGCTAAAATTAAACATTACAAATATTAGTTGGGTTGGTAAAGAGACTCCTGGTGAACAGTATGCCTACATGCTATTACTAGTAGTGTCATTGAAATATTGACAATAGACAATGTCAAACAAAAAAAATTCAAAAAGATAATTTGTGTAAATTAACATTTACTATTTGAAAAAAAGCTATACATTTATACTCAAGGTAAAACACTAATTGATAAAACAAAAACAAAACAAAACACAACTGAAGATCAGTAGGGGAAAAGGTTATTCATTAAGGTATTATTCATAAAAATAAGGAACACAAGGTATTATTCATTCCGTATGAGCTTTTAGAGGTGATGCCAGTTATCCATTGGTTGTGTGGTATTTAAAAGATTGAGAAAAGACAAAATTTCCTTTTTATTTTTATTGTGTACAGGAAGAAAAATTAAACATTCAATACAAAAGTGTTTAAAGTATTCTGTGATGATCTCCTAGTGTTAAGCATCTATCCCTGCATGCTACATTTAACAAAGAGGCAAAGTTTTGTCAAAACAACATTCATTGGGAACTTTAACAACATTCTTACTGGGATTTTTTGCTCACACACTAAAAGTGTTACTCGAGGAACACTCAGTAAAACCATTCACACATTACCTAATCTTTAGACCAAGTCTGCAAAACTACAAGCACATTATATGCTTTAAGCTCAGGTTGCTATTGCTAACAAACATTTGAAAAAACTCTTAACACAGTTCTCTACATTAGGCACATCATTCAAAACTAACAGCTCTTTTGTTTCTTTTAGGATCATCTCCCAATTACCTACACCCAATGATCATTTGTGAAAACATATTCATAGGCACACAAATTCATAAGCAGCTCTAACAAGCTAATAGTGTCATTTTTCAGTATTGATTCAGTTTAGTTCCATAACAGAATAAAACTCATCAGTTGTGCATACGTATTTACAGAGTATTTGTTCACGTGCATGTGAGTGGTTTGACAAACTTCACTGCACATTTTAAACAAGCAAAAGACACAAGATAGTCGTGTTTTACATTTTTCACATCCGTGTTTAGCTTGGTGTGTATGTGGCTGGCTAATTATTTTAATTACTATGCAAAAATATCATTTTAAGAAGAGTTAAAATAGTTTTGAATTAAGTGTTTTCTTTTGCAAGATATGTGTGATGTTTTCCATTTTGTGTGTGTTTTGTTGTTTTGTTTTGTTTTTTGAGTGTAGAGGTTTGAGAAATGGAACCATAGTTTTAAGAACTGTGTGTAAGTATAAAAAAAACTGTAAAGTGGAATATGATTATTTTTGTTTGACATATTTTATCAGCAATTATTTTTGGAGGTAAGATTAACACAGAGATACTTCCTCAGAAAGTGATACAATGGCAGAAGTACAAACAATTACAAAAACTGTATGCTAATTAAAGCAAAAAAAAAAAAGTGTTCAAAGTTGTTTAAATTGTTGTCAATTTCTATAAGAATCGTTTAGGATATTTTTTCAGGTGTTTAGAATTAATGCTGTTAATGTTTGATGTGTCAATATCCACCTTTTTCTGCGGCCATTCTATTTCCCATGATTCATAGTGGGTTCAACTGACTAAACGGTTTTCTACTTCCGGTTGAAGTATTTGCTATAAGTATATGCTAGCACTCTAGTCCAGACATTAGAAAAATATCAGTCTACACATGCGTTTTATATATAATATGAGCGAAATACACAACACAACAAATATTTAGCTTTTAGGTGGCAAAATATTTTTTAGTAATTTTATGAATTACACTGCGCAAAACAAAAGTAATAGCCTACTTGTAACGGTCACCAGGTGGAGTGCCCTTGAGAGTCACCAGAGGGCACTCCACACCAGATGTTCATGTTTCATTCACAACTACATTTCCCAGAACTCACTGCCTGGACTCATCACTGATCACATTCACCTGCACCTCATTCACTGATTGCATTCACCTGTGTCTCATCCTGTTAATATGTCTATATATACCATGTTCATTCAGTCTCTCACCGCGAAGTCTTGTTTAAGTGGTGTACTGTGTGTCTGCCTTTCTGAGCATTTTCCGTGTTTGTTTTCTGGTTTTGATTTTGGATTGTTCTTGGATTCTGATTATTGCTGCCTGCCCTGACCTCTGCCTGTTTCTTGGATTCCTACTGTGTATTCTCCTTTGTCCTGTCTGCTGATTCTCGACCCTGCCTGTACGACTACTCTTAAATAAATCTGCATTTGGATCTACATCTCCCAGTCTCGGAGCAGTTCATAACACTACTACCCGGGTGAAGAAGGGTCGGCTTCCACAGAACATTTTTTTTTTCTTTTTTTTTTTTTCGTGTTACCATTTATGAAAAAAAAACATTACACGTTACAGACGTGAAAGTTCTCCATTACGTACATGACTGCTCTGAAAGCGACTTAAAAACTTTCACAGAGATCTTAAAGAAAAACCACAAAGCCTTTCTTTAAAATGAATTTCGTTATTTATTAATTGTATCTTAATTTCAATCAATGATTCATCAACCAATTGCCTGGTTTAATTAAATAAGAAGCAAATATAGTAGAAAATATATCATCATGACAGAGGTGCTGGTGCACAAACTGGACTCTGGTCTCATAAATGAACCGAAACTCGGCATATAATGTAGTCTCCTCACAGGCCTGAGAAATATATAGACTATGCATATTTGAAAGCAGAGGTAGATAGGAGTCAAAGGGCTAATGCTTGGGTTATTCTGCAGCAGTCAGGGGAGATAGAAACTGTTGGATGTTCATGTATTGCTGTATTAGAGAGATTGTGCTATACTTTGCAAGTTATGAAGAAAAGAAAAAAGTTAATTTTGTTTTGATCTGTGATTTAATAAAAAATAATGTGCTCCGATCACATTTGATGAATGTTTTTTTTTTATTATTATTTTTTTAGTTTAATGATGTGGGGATGACACAAGCTAAAAACACATAGCAACCGGAAGTTGGCAACCGGAGTCGTCGTCATGGCAGCATGCATTGGTTAGAGCAGAATAAGGTGGATAAATAAATATACAGTATATATAAATTTCAAATCCCTTTGTATAACATTTACTAAATGCGCATAGATGTTGTAAACAGCTTTACAGAAAATGTGAACATAAAGTGAGTAGGCTAAAGGTCACAGTAGTGAGGAGAAACATACAAAAATCTTTTTACAGGACTATAGATTTGGATATTGTTCCATATTGCTGAAAGTGACAGCATGCATTTTTTTATTTGTTTGTTTGAAATAATCATGAATAATGTTTTTTTTTTTCTGACCAGGCAAATTGATATATTTAATCAATTTCAAATTAACTTTGACAGCCATTTTGACAACATTTTGTAAAATCTTTCCTCACATTTTCAACACACCTCCTTCTCTGCCCCATAGACCCCAATTGGAAAACTCCATGTTTACTAATGATTGATTTAACAGTAATAGTGTTCCCTACATGCTTCCTAAACACACATTCCTTTGTAATTGTAAAAAGAAGTGATAACACTTTACAATAAGGTTTGTAAAGTATTAACAAACTAACTCATTTGTTAATGTATTAACTAACTTAGAGTAACAGAGGGCAATGTATTTCTTATATTGATTAATCTTTGTTAATGTTAGCAAATGAAAATACATTTGTTAATTCAGATTAATCAGTGCTATAGAAGAATAGTTTACTGTTAGTTTGTGTTAACTAATCTAGTGAACTAATGTTAACAAATTAAACCTTATTGTAAAGTGCTACCAAAAACATTAAGCTGTCTTTGTAATATTACAGTCATTACAACAATCTTACAGTAATATTACAGTCATGTAAAGCAGCTGCCATTTTCTTTATACCTTCACTTTTGTTTTAGTGAAATGGTGGCTGTGCTGGTCTCAGTATGAAAATCAGGGCTTAGTTTCAATTTCATCTGCTGATAGTGGAAGCTTCAAAGATTAGGACCAAAAAAAAAAAAAAAGACAAACAGAGAAGTCAAAATTTCAATGATATATCTTATGAGCTAAAACAAATAAACAACATGTTAAATATTTACTAATATTAAATTGTAACAATCATATCTGTGATTGATCTGTGCCTAAAAGCCAACCTACCTTGTAGCCTGATTCCAGATCATCTTCAGCATTATTTCCTGAGTCATCATAACCTATTTAAAACAGACACACACACACACACACACACACACACACACACACACACACACACAGTTATATTGTTAATTGATACGAACATTAGTGTAGTCTCTATAACTATACTTTCTTGCAAATAAAAAATAGAGCCCTTCACGTGTGTGTGTGTGCGTGTGTGTGTGTCCCCGCACGGATTGTAGCCTAACTCAGATTAACCATGAACAAATAAAAGGGGAAAACAGAAATGATCCACAAGGAGAATCTATTTCAAGCTGCAACTCATTGTTAAAACAGAAACAAAAAGTGTTTCAGAGAGGATGTTTAACCCAACACCATTGTAAATATAAAAACACATGCATTTGTGTAACATACTTAGAAAAGGTTGGCCAGAAGGTCGTCTACCATCTGTGAATAAATCCAGTACAAAATTATATTTCACTATGACTACTTAAAATATTGGGCTTCAAAGTGTTTGCATTCCAAGTGACTTTGTTTTCTAAATAAAAAGTCCCAAAATATATATATATAAATTCACATAGCCTAATATAAATTGACGAACTTTGACGAAAGAGAACGTTGACGAACTATAGAGAAGTGAAATCACCACTTAACAAAACCCTTGACAACAGCTTAACATCAACAGAAGTCATTATCAAATCATGATAAGGAAGTACTGTACATCTGTGCTATTTAAGGTCTTTAAGTAACACAATTCCCCTTAAGAACTGCTGAGGCCTCTCATTTCTAAACTTATGGATTGCCACATTTCCCTTTTGGCTGCAAAAAAAAAATAAATGTTAAAAAGTCTTGTTTTTACAGATATCCTTCCTCAGACATAACAATCACTGAAATGTGTATACAATAGAAAATATATAATCGATAAAGTAAACAACACTTCTTTAAACGTTTTCTTTAGAACAAATGTTAAAAGTATACTCACGTTGAACATTTTTTTTCCGGAATATCAACAGAGCACACAGAAGACCAACAATGAGTGATCCGATGACCATCACACCAGCGACAATGTGTGTTGTATTAGATGTTACAGAAGATTCCGTGTCTGAAGAAACAATGTACATTCAATTGACAACAGCACATATTCTTCTTGACAATGTAGTAAAAAATAGATATATAGATATATACTGTACTACACAATGTTCTTCATGACAATGCAGATTTAGAAATGTTCTAAATGAAAGTAACCTGAGATATCTGATATGTGGCAATGTCAATGCTTTATTGTACTACTCTAAATTACATTGCTAAGAAAAAATTATACTAATAAAATGCCATAATATGGCCAGCTCCCTACAATTCGCTTTGTCTCAAAACATGCTCAGTGTCTTCAGAATCTTCAGAATTCATGATATGATTATGTAAACACTCCTGACTACTGTTAACCCTGAGTTGACAGTCTAAAGATAAAAGAAAAACTATTCAAAACAGATCATATTTTTACACAAACTTCTAACTATGTTAAATAAGCACTCAGATAAAAATGGTAATAAATGAAGCTTAATTACATGCAGATGGGAGGTGCAATGTCATTTCTTCTTCTTGCACATATTTGCTGTTCAAGACAATGCATCTAAATGGCCCCAGTTCCAAGTTAATCGACCTGAAAGTCAGTTTGCTAGATAAGGCCACAGATTTTAAACCGTTGGTGTCCTTGTAGACATTTGTCAGTTCTGAATTCATGGTCCAATTCGTTCCAGAACGGTCAAACCAATGGATGAAGCCTGCTGGGTAGCCATCTGTAGCATTGCAGTAAAGGTCGGCAGGCCCTCCGTCTGTTACATCTTTAGGCCATGTGCTTGAGGTTAGATTTTTGTAATTGGCTTTATTAAGGGGAAGAAAATTTCGATAAGTGTCAAGAAAGCAGAAAGTATTATAATAACCACTTTTAAAACAAAATGGCTAAGAATTTCCATTTTATTTTATTTAAAGTGACTGAATAAATTCAATCTCACCTGTGATAGTGATTCCAAGTTGCACTTTTTTTTCACCTCTGTTTGTTACAACACGGTACTGATATTCACCCTCATCAGCAAACTTAGTTTTAGAGATTTGCAGCGATGGACCCGATGTTGAGTTTTCAAGACTAAAACGTGGATCTCCTGAATATGTTTTAAAATATTTAAAAATTGGCTCTTTGTGTGTGGTTCTTTTTAAAGAAACTGTTTCTATTTTAATGTCTTGGATGTTTATGAAATTGCATTTGATAACTGTTTTCTGATCAACAATTCCAACTGTAGATAGGCATTTCAATGTCCACGAATCTGTTGAACATAGAAGTACAAACATAAAATTGTATTATGGTATTTTAGTGGAAGCATAACTAGATATTTATAATCAAAGGAATGTTCAGAGCTTGATACAAGTATCTATTGACAGAATCTGTGGCATGCTAAACACAGAAAATAATTTACAATGTAAAAAAAGTTAACTTGAGCCCAGAACATTATTTGAAATTGCTTTAAGCACAAAAAACAATCTTAACTCTTCTAACAATCTTAATCCTCCTCTAAAGGAGGATACAGACATTATTGTGTATATCCAGTAAATCTCTGAATGCATTGTACCTTCACTGGGCCTCACAGCAGGGATGACGAGAGAAATTATTACAAGTACCATAACCATTAATGAAGACATGTTTACTCTGAAAGGAAAAGTTGAGAGAGAGAGAGAGAATGAAATGATTGTACTTTGTTGCTGTGTATGTGTAGGGAACCTTATCTCGATTATTGTAAAAGTTTAAGCTGGGATCTGGGATTCAGAAAGCAATACTAAGTAGCATCCCATATTAGTTCCTTCAAATAAATAAAGCTTAAACACAATATGGCCCTTAATCAGAAAATGTTGTGCATACATACATTGTTAATGGTCATAGGCATACGTGATTCATTACACAATAGAGAGATGACTTCAAATTGTAATTAAAATTATTTTAAAATGATAATAAAATGAAACAGGGAAGATCGGGCCACAACCTATCAATTTTTGACATCAGTTTGTGTAAATTCACAAAGGTTTAAGAGGTTTTCTTTTTTTTAACCGCATTAATTTCACACAAGTCTAGGACAATTGTGTGGTTTGGTTTCATTAATACAGTGTTTTTCTTGATTTACCCCAAAAGAATGGAAGTGAAATGTGACAACATGCCCCATAGGTGGGGTATAATGTAACAGAGGCACATTATAACTTGTAACCATATGACAGCTTAAAATGTTATCTGATCTAATAATAATAATAATAATATATATATATATATAGAAAAAAAAAAAAAAAAAATTCACATAAACAATGGTGTTTTTAATAATTAAAAATATAGTATTTAAAGAATTTGACAACAAACACACCACAAAACACAACTTTACGGCATAATTCAAAACATAATAATAAACAATTTCTGAACATTGACATCTTTATTTTCCTTTTGGTTTCTCACTAAAATTTATACAAATATAGAATAGTTCTAATGGGGGCTTCTAAAACTCACACAAAAAAACAGAGAATGGTTATGCTATGGTTAAATAAATGTTCAGTGATATCTTCAAAAATGAAATTAAAATTTTTAATTTTGGCGCAATTTTTTTCTCTTGCCTATAGTGTTGATGGTACTAGTGTGTAGTAAATACACAAAGTTTCACCATGCTGGCAAGTATTGAAAGTTTTAATTAATGTATGTTAGAACTAACCCTGCGTTAGGTTGTGCCCTGCTCACTCCTGTGCTCACCCCTAATATAATATTAATATTAATTAATAATAATAATAAGAGTGCAAAATTATTAAGTAGCCTACCTGTAAATGTTTATTTATTAATTTACATCCATTTTCACGTTCAAATTAAGACAGTAGGTACGTCTTCAACAGAATTCTTCCATCTCCATAAACTCTAAAAAAAAAAAATTATTTCCGTCTCCTCTTTCGCGTCGACCGCGGCTTCACTTCACTTCACCAATGTTGTTCATTTTTGCTACTAGGTGCATAACGTAATGACTTTAGCCTATATCATCTGAATGAAAACTGATATAGCCTATGCAGTGGTTAAAGTGGGATTTTTCAGGTGTAACAGAGAAAAATGACTCACCGTGGGACAACATATTGAGTATCGTGGTATAGCAATACTTTTTGGGTGTCGCTGTGGCACCAAGTAGCCTGTCACTTATTTACTTGATATTTTAATGGTTTTATTTTGGCCCATCTACACTGATTTAATGACAATACTATGTTAAAATTGCTTAACACTGGGACAAAACGTGGGGTTCGGGGCCTCCCCGAGAAAATTTTGATTTCTCTGACCAAATTATGTGCAATTTAAGACTTTTGAAGGCCAAAAAAAAGGATAATAAATAGCTTTAAAACCATGTCAGTGGGCATTCGATTATTTTGTCAATAGCCTACCTGCTCTCTTCTCATCTACATCTTTCTTTTTCTCAGTCTCCTTATCCTGCCCTATTTCTTCCCCTCCTAAACTCCTAAACCCCCTGAACTTTGACTGATAGTCTTTCATTTTCGTCTGTGTCAGTGAAGTAAATAGGCTTAACTGATAATTATATTTTTTATGAATCATTATCTTAAACAAGTTAATTTACTCAAGGCTACCAGGTCAGTATTGCCACCTTCTAAGCTTTGGAATTTAAAAAGTAATTTTAAATAATACAAATTATAGGCTACGTTTAAAGGGTACATATCATGCTTTTAAATCATTCATTTTTACATATAAATCATACCGCTGTGGTCTACATAAAACATAACTGCAATGCTTGGGTCTGAATTCCTGGATGAATCATGTTCCTTCTGTGGGAATATGACCATCTCTACACTGCGATCTAGACTCAATGATCTTACAAAAGTGAGAGTCCCCGTATCCGCTACTACTCGATCTGGTTCTTCCTCTAGAAGCTCTTCAACTCGCGGTCAGGGTGATTTGACGGTGACGGTGTGGAACAAAACCCCGACGCTAGCTTCTCGGGCCACACCCACCGCTCCAGTGTCAGAGCAAGCGAGCGCCGAATCGCTGCAGGCGTCTACCTCTTCGCAGGCACCGCCTGTTTCGTTCGGCGCTCCAGAGGATGATGCAATGTCGATCGCAGCATCACAAGGCGGGCTTGAGTCCCCGGGAAGTGAGGATGTGGCTGCGTTGCCTCCTTCGGGAGCGCCAGCGTTGCCCGTGTCTGATACTGAGATGACGGCCATGCTATCTCGGGCCGCCGTGAGTATCGGGTTGGAGTGGAACCCTCCGCCCTGTCCCGATCTCTCACGGATGGATAAATGGTTTTTGGGTAAGGCTGCCGCCTCACGCCCACAGCCGACCCCAATACCTTTTTTCCCCGAGCTGCATGTGGAACTGCAGCAACTTGGAAGGCTCCTTTGACCTCCCAAGAGCACGCTTCAGCTTCCCCCGCCTTTCCTCCCCTCGACGGCGCGGTTGCCCGTGGGTACGCTGGGATTCCCCCGGTGGAGCGTTTTGTTGCGATGCAACTGTGTCCGCAGAGCGCCTCCTCCCGCGGTGCTCCCAAGCACCCATCCAAAGCCTGTAGGTTCTCGTCGTCCATGGCAGCACATTCCTATAGAGTGGCGGGACAGGCAGCCTCCGCCCTGCATGCAATGAGCACTTTGCAGGACAGCGTTACAGCCCCCTCAGGCCGCGCGCCCCGCTAAACGCCAGGCGAAGCGGCGTCCCTGAGACGGGCTGCTCAGTGATAAGGTCGAGTTTTTCCCAGGAGGTGGTAGCAGGCCCCCTCCTTCCCCCGGTGGAGGGCCGGGGGAGAATCTTTTGTTCTCAGCTCCCCGCTGCTCACCCACGGGTACCCTGAGTTGGTTAAAGAAAGACTTGACATCATCACAGACTGGAATGAGCGCGCACGACGTCCCAGTGCATCGCCCCGTCCCAGTGCATCATTCCTCTCTGTCTCTGAGGGTGCGGAAGCGAGCATGTGTCGTCCCTCGACTACACCCCTCCCTTCCCCTCTATCGCCAGACCCCCGGCACAACAGACCCCGTGGAACGCTGGTCCTTCCCTGGTCTCTTCTGTCGGGTAACGGGGCTCGACTGTGCACCCGCACGGGGTAACTCCTGTGCGCATGCCGGTCTCCCCGCCTCGCTGCCCCTCCGGGGGGACATCTGTGGTTCGCATGACCCCGCTGGTTCAGTTCCTGGGAGCTTGGTTAGAGCTCCCCGGCCTGTACCGCTGGGTCATCAGAACGATCAGATTCGGCTACGCGATTCAATTCGCACGGTCTCCTCCCCGTTTCAGGGGAGTTCGCTTCACGGTGAACGGTGGCAATGCCCCGGTCATGAGAGCGGAAATTGCGAACCTGCTGGCGAAGGGTGCAATCGAGACGGTCTCTCCAGCCGAGATGAGGTCAGGGTTTTACAGCCCATACTTCATCGTCCCCAAGAAGACTGGTGGGTTACGACCGATACTGGATCTGCACATTTTGAACTGTACTCTTCATCGATTGCCGTTCAAAATGCTCACAGCCAAACGCATTTTCGAATGCGTCCGGCCTCAGGATTGGTTTGCAGCGATAGACCTGAAGGACGCATACTTTCATGTCTCCATTTTGCCTCGACACAGACAGTGTCTTCGGTTTGCTTTCGAGGGCCAGGCATATCAGTACACGGTTCTCCCATTCGGGTTAGCTCTGCCACCTCGCGTCTTCACGAAGATCGTCGAGGCAGCCCTTGTTCCCCTTCGCGAACACGGGGTTCGCATCCTGAACTATCTCGACGAATGGCTGATCCTAGCACACTCTCGAGAACAGGTTTGCGAACACAGAGACCTGGTGCTCCAGCACCTAGCCCGTCCGGGCCTTCGCGTCAACCGGGAGAAGAGCAAACTTTTCCCCGTGCAGAGGATCTCTTTTCTCGGTATGGAGATAGACTCGGCTGCCATGTCCGCACAGCTCACGAACGAGCACGCGCACTCACTGCTGACCAGTGGTGGAGGAAGTACTGAATCTCAGTACTTAAGTAAAAGTACAAATACCCAGATAAATATTTACTTTAGTAAAAGTAGAAGTAACACAATGACAACCATACTTAAGTAAAAAGTAAAAAGTACTTTATTTTAAATGTACTTTAAGTATTAAAAGTAAAAGTACTTGCATAACAATTTATTATCTTAATGTCTATTTTCTAATGATTAATAAAACATTTAATTCTAACTCATTCAACCTAATAGCCTACTCCTATAATTAGGGGTGTGCAAAAAAATCGATTCACATTTGAATCGCGATTCAATCTTTACCGATTCAGAATCGATTCATAGAATTCCAAAAATCGATTCATAGGCTATATTTTTTAATGGCGTGCAGGGGCGGAGTGGCAATCGGGTAAGTCGGGACTTTTACCGGTGGTCCGGTAGTGTTTCTATGGTTTCGAGGCTGCGAGGGCCGGTCTGATAAATAGTCATTGCAAGTTCTTGCCACCCGTTGGTCAAACTGTGCAGCCACTCTGCTCAACCCGTAAATAAATGCATCGATCCGCAGATCTGTTTGAGCTCTGTAGATCTTTTGCCAAGCGTGTCAGAGGTGACGGGTTCTAAACCGCACTCGTAAAGTTTTTTCTCTCTCTCATCAAAACCGAATATGTTCATCACGTTTGTGTGCATTTTATTTTGTGATTTTACCGGAGTCTCCACAACGGCGATAG